CAAGTCCTGGACCTGGTGGCTTGCTTTCTCACTTTCTCTCTCTCTCTGTGTCTCTCTCTGGTCAAAATAAAATAAGTAAAATGAATAAATAAAATTAAAAATAAATAATTCTTTAAAAAAAATAAAAAGAGAGACAGACAAAAAGTGCGAAATCACCCCCTAGGGGGGATGGCCATGCCGCAATCCCTTCTCCTCCGTTCTCCTCTCGGGAATGCTTCTGGTGTGACTTTAAGCCATCGGGCCTGGGACTTGAACCGTAGTCAACCACATGGTAGTCCAGCGACATAGCCACTACACCAACTGCTGGTCCCAAAATGAAATAATTCTTAAAAAAAAAAAAAAAGAAAGAAACAGGAATTTATTTCTCATAGTTCTGGAGTATGCAAGTCTGAGATCAAGGTGTCAGCAGGGTTGGTGTCAGTGAGGGCTTTCCTTGGGTTGCAAATTGCCATTTTCTTGCTAGAAGAGGTATTCAAAGAGTTTTCTGGAAAATGCGTATTATGAAAAAACTATGCATAGATTTTTAAAATTTGCCCTGAAATAAACTTGTACTTTAAGTCCATTTTCCACAAACTTTTTGCATTCCCCTTCCCATGGCCTTTACCCAGTGTGTGTGGGCAGAGAGAGAGCTTGAAAGCCAGCTTTCTTAATTAAAAAAAGAAAAAAGAAAAGAAAATGTCAGAGGGTACATGCTTACAAACAAAAAAGAGAGAGAGAGAGAGAGACAGGAAGAAGGGAGATGAAGGCACCCCTCCCCAGAGCGGAGGTCCCTCTGCAATCGTTTTTCCTCCAATTCTCCATCCTGTCAGGATCCTGGGTACGCATACATGCACGCAACATGTTTTTCAAGCCACAAGGGTCGGGACTCAAACTCTGATCAGCCATACGGCATCTAGCGTCCTCTGCACAGCACTTCGCTGCGGTCCTGTGGGGCTGCCTCTGGCCTCTGTTTTGTAAAGGCACTAATCCTATCATAACAGCCCCAGCCTCATGACCGCACCTGACCCTAATTACGGCAAAGGCCTCATCTCCAAATACCAATCCATCAGCGGTTAGGCTTCAACATACAGATGTGGGGGAAGCATACCGTGCAGCCCCCGGTACCTAGTTTTCACTCAGACTCCCTACTTGGGATCTGAAAGGTCCAGGGAAAGACTAAATTGGGGTCACATGCTCCCCTAGTAGCCTACAACTGGGGAACCAGAGAAACTGAGGAGAGAGGAACAGTCCTCCCCCAAAAGGGAGAGCTGTTCCCAGAAGCTAACAGCTGCTAGCATTGCCTGAGACCTATTCCATGCCAAGCACTGAGCCGAGCTCATGTGTTCACTCATTCAATGCTCACCCTGCATCATGGTCACTGTCACACCTCCATTTCACAAGAGAATCGAGACCCAGGGAGGTTACTCAGTTTGCCTTGGGCTACATAGCCCCAAATGGCAGAAACAGAATTTGAGTCCGGACGCTCTAGCTGCAGGGCGCACGAACACTGCATACCCCTGTGCCTGCCCTTTGCATCGTCAATGGTCTCGGCTCTTCATCTTGCTCATACCTTTCTCTGGGCAGTGCTTTCCTCCAGCCTCTCAATCCTTGGCTGCCATGTTCTGCCAAGTTCAAGTTTAAGGGTGAGGTGCTGAGAGAGGCCCAGGGAACTTGGGGTTCATGAGGCAGCTTCTCTACCTGCCGGCTTCCCATTGAGGCATCAGACAGGAGTAAGGCCCTTCTCCGTGCCAGAAGGAAGGTCTTTTCTTTGGGTATTGATTTCTTGTTGGTGTTATGGGAGGAACTCTGGTATTTTGAGTCTGGGGGCAGAAGTGACATTCAAAATGACATTCAAAATGTTGTACCACAAGAATGTCTACAGGACCAGCAGTTAGAGTAATGGCTATGTCGCTGAACTCCCATGTAGCTGACCGCGGTTCAAGTCCTGGACCTGGTGGCTTAAACTCATGTTGGGCGCGTGTGCGTGTGTGCCCAAGATCCCAAGAGAAGAATGGAGGAGAAGGATTTGTTGCTTGGTCACCCCCCCAGGGGTTGATTTCTCGCTTTCTGTCTCAATGTCTCTCTCTGTCTTTCTGGCGAGCGCACATGCCCTATAGCAAAAACCTCTCTCAAAAAAAAAAAAAGAAAGAAAAAGAAAAAGAAAGAATGTCCATCCAGGCTGCTCTAGGATCCTAGAAGTCCTCCTCTCTGGCTATAGCTACCTTGAGCTTCTGAATTATAGGATGTCAGGAGTAGGGTCTAGGAGGATGACCGGGGTCACTCGGGGGTTGGGAAGCTGGTCTTAGCCAGGGGATGCAGGCTTATTTCAGTGCTCCAATACCTGCCATACCTGTTGCCCTCAGGAGTGGAGTGGGGGTGCGGGGGGGCGCCTGGGCCCTGCACAGTGATGTGTAGATGCAGGAGGGGTTTTCTCCCAGATGCAGACTGTCAATAATGTCCTTTGTTTCTACCCTCATGACTCGTGTTGTCCTTTGTCGTCCTTTGGTCACTTTCTCTTCCTGTCCATTGAAGGTACCACAATGCTCTCCATGAGACGATCCCCGAGCAAACACAGCAGTAACAACCCACAGACTCCCAGGCCACCTGGTTAGTAACTCCCCTCTCAGACTGGAAGCCCGCTATGTTCTACTCACTGTGTATTTCCTGCACCTCAGTGGACACGTACTGGGTAAATAAATTACTTCAAGCCTAGCAGAGGGCAGACACACAATACATATGCAATGAGATGAAGAAACAAATCAATGAACACTGCATGCAAACCACCTTGAAACGCAGTGGCTTAAAGTGATAACTATCTATTAGGTCGTTGGGAAAGTCATGACACATTTTTGCATAGAAAAACAGAGAAAAATGCCAACCTAATACTTTAGCTCTCAAGTCTGGAGTTTGGAAATATAGGCTGGGCTCAGCAGGGTGGCTCTTCTGAGCTCACCTGGATGTAGTCCAGGCATCTGAGGTCAATTTCAAATCAGCAGGACTTCTAAGGGCATCACTAGCCTTAACCTCCACTTCCTGCCCAGTCAACCCCCAATGAATGAATGGAAATTATATTCCCATGGGTCTATTCCACACAGAGAGTTCATTCAACAAATATTGATTGAGCACCGCCTATGTGGCAGGCAGTGTTCTAGGTGGCAAGGATAGAGCAGAGAACAAGACAGACGGAATCTCTGCCTCCATGGAACTGACAGTCTAGTCAGGGGAGCAAGACAACAAACGACAATCTTGCATAATAATCATAGAGCAGGTGATTTTAACTTGCTATCAAGAACAATAAAGCAGTGTCAGAAAATCACTGGGAGGTGTGTTATAGAGAGAACCAGGGAAGGCCTCACTGAGAAGAAAGCAAAAGAGAGAGACATGTAGATGTCAAGGCAAAGGGTGTTCCAGGGAGAGGAAACAGCCAGTGCCAAGACCTTGATGAGAAAACGTGCAGCAAGTTCAACGGCAGGGAGGCTAGCGGCGCTGGAGGGCAATGAGTGAGGGGAGTGAGGGGACGACAGGAGGGATGGAAGCCGGGTTGTACGCCACCCGGAGCGCTTGCAGTTTTGTCCTAAAGTTACCAAGGCTGCCCCCTCTCCCTGACTGCCATTCCCTTGCTCACTTCACTCCACTCCACTTTGCTGAACTCTGACTTGCTCCTTGTCTGCCCTCTCCAGGTACGGATGAGGACAACCCCTTTCTCTATGGTAAGTTGCTCAAGGGAAGATATGGGGGAGGGAAGAGTGAAGGTCTCTCTGACCGTACTCCTCTTTTTTCTCTCTACAGACATAGACACTCTCCGGAAACGGGGGCTATTGGTCGCGGCTGTGCTGTTCATCACAGGCATTGCCATCCTCACCAGTGAGAATCAGGATTGGGTGGGAAGGGGGCTAAGACTGGGAGTGGGAGGGCTTGGCTTATTCTATGACTGAGTGTCTAGTCCTTTCAATGGCAGGGTTATTTTAAATAAAGTATGTGTTAGCTATATACCTGTACAAACCATCCCAGAAGTCAGTGCTTAAAGTACCGACCATTTATTTAGCATAAAGCCTGCAGTTTAGAAATGTAGGCTGGGGGGAACCAGCAGTTAACATAATGGCTATGTCGCTGGACTCCCACGTGGTCAACCACGGTTCGCGTCCCGGACCCGGTGGCTTAAAACACACACCGGGTGTGTGTGCGTGCGTGCCCAAGATGCCGAGAGGAGAATGGAAGAGAAGGGATTGCGGCGTGACCATCCCCCCTGGGGGGTGATTTCTCGCTTTCTGTCTCTATGTCTCTCTCTGTCTGTCTGGCGAACGCACGTGCCCTATAGCGAAAACCTCTCAAAAAAAAAAAGAAAAAGAAAAAAGAAATGTAGGCTGGGCTCAGCTGAATAGTTCTTCTGATCTCAGCTGGATTCATTCTGTTTCTAGGTGCACCTTGGTTCTTCCCCTTCTAGTCTTATCTTCCACTAGGCTATCCTGGGCTTCGCATGGTGGTGGCAGGGGTCAGAGAGACAGAGACAGAGACAGAGACAGGGATGGATGGGTCATCCAGAGAGAACAAGCCTACCCACCTAGCTGTGCAAGAACAGAGATCTATGGGCTAGCCCTGTGCCTAATGGTGGAAGCTGGATCCCACAGAGCTGGCCATGCAGTTTGAATCCCAGACCTGGTGGCTTGAAAAACATACCAGGCCCTCCTCAGAGAGCACCCATCTGGTAGGGACGTGACAATCAACAAGTCACTGCATGGATGAGCAGAGTGGATACAGAGGGAGATATTTGCCCAATAAAGCCATTAGCCTGCGGGGCAGGGAGAGAAGCCCCTCTGAAAAGGTGAGATCAGAATTGATTCTTGATTATGAAAAGATGACAGAGAATAATAGGTAGAGGGAATGGCAAGTGCAAAGCTGCAGAGGCAGGGATGAGGCAAGCAGGTTGCACCAGCAGGGCAAGGAGGCCAAGGTGGTTGGGACCAGGTAACCAAGGGGAGAAAAGACAACGCCAGAGAGGTGAGTGGTGGGAAGGTGAGGATGGCATTCAGGATCCAGCCCCTGGCCTCCCTCCTGTCCCTTGAGCTTATCTGTATCCCCTACCTTGGAGCCTTTGCACTGGCTGTCCCCTCTCCTGGAACACCCTTCCCCTAGATGTCCACATGGCTTCCCCTCATCTCCTTCAGGCCATTGCTCAAATGTCACCTCCACAATGAGGCTTCCCTAGTCATCCCCACGTGTGTCCCCAGGATGCTCTGGCCTCCCTGGCTTTGTTGTATTTCACAGCACCGATCACCGTCTGGCTTACCGCCCTCCATCTGTCTGACTTGCTTATATTCCTCATTGTCTGGTCTCCCTTGCTCGACAGTGAGCTCCGTAAGGGTGGGAGTGTTGCCATTCTTATTCCCAGCAGCGTCCCCATTGCCGGGTACATAATAGCTGCACAGTGAATATGCACTGACTGACCGACTCATACACAACGTAGTATGTGTTTTCTTTCTTTCTTTCTTTTTTTTTTTTTTGGAGCGGTTTTCGCTATAGGGCATGTACGCTCACCAGACAGACAGAGAGAGACAGAGAGACAGAAAGTGAGAAATCACCCCCCAGGGGGGATGGCCACGCCGCAATCCCTTCTCCTCCATTCTCCTCTCAGCATCTTGGGCACGCACCCACATGCGCCCAGCGTGAGTTTAAGCCACCGGGTCCGGGACTCAAACTGCAGTCGACTATGTGGGAGTCCAGCAACATAGCCATTATGCTAACTGCTGGTCCCAAAGTAGTATGAGTTTTCAAAGGGCTCCTCTGTGTGTAAGCATGGGAAGCTCCTCCCTCAAGGGCCCTGGCTCGGCTGTTCTCTTCCTCCTCGTATGTTTTTCATTCACCTCTGTATAGGGTGGCCTTCAAGCTTGCTGAGAGCTGCATGGAGCAGCCTGGGTCCCAGCACCTAGAGCACACGCGCTTATCAGGGTTGTTCCCACTCATGACTGGACCTTTTCTTTCACCACAGGTGGCAAATGTAGGCAGTGGTCCCGTTTGTGCCGGAATTATTGCAGGTGAGTCCATTGGCTATGGGAGCCGACCACCTGAGGGACATCCCAAGACCAAGCCTTCCACCAACTCACCACGCTCAGCCTCCTCCCTCCCCTCAAAGAGCCTACAGAATGGTCAGTATGAGAAGCCCAGCCTGTGCTGGAAGACATGAATGGATGGATGGATGGAGCAGAGCTTGGGCTGCTGGCCTGAGTCCCCACCTTCCAATCCCACCTGCCTCCGAGGCCTGCCAGCCTCCCTGGCAGCTTCCCCTGAAGTTGTGCACTCTGTTCAGTCAAAAGTAAAGCACTATGGTCTCACCCACGGTCTCTGATCATTCATGATGGGGGAGTGGACCACGGCGACAGGGAAGGACTCGGGTGCTGTGAGAGTAAAGGAAGAAAGGCCAGGGCTACAAAATTAACGCGGGGGATAGTGAGGAAGGCCACTGGGAGTGACACAGGCAGGATGGCAGGGGCTCGGGAGGCTGGCAGCAGGTGACTCTGGCCAGTGGAAGAGCCAGGGTCAGACTCTGCCCACAGGCAGTTTGAGACCCGCAGTCTGGTCCATAGACAGAGCACCTAAAGCCAGCTCACCCAGACATTGGTAGGGCCTTCATCAAGGGCAGGGGAGATCATGACCCATCATGGCCCCCTTACCCTCACACTGTGGGCCTCGCCCAGCCTGCACGTCTTAGCTCCATTCACACTCCCCGGACCACACAGGACCAGCGCTGAGCAACCTCCTGGCCTAGGGATATGCCCACCAAGAAGGTCATGTGGGCCCTGGAATGAGCTCAAAGCAATGGGGGTGTGAATTCTGGGGTCCTGGGGATATGGTGCAAGAGGCTCTGTAGGAACTTCCTGAAGGCCTTTGGGTTCCACAGCCCATGAAGAGAGGTTCAGTCAGATCAGGTAAAAAATGAGCCGTCTGAAGTGCAGGGCTTAGGGCAGGGGCCTTTACTGGGTTTCAGGATCGTGCCAAAGCAAAGAGATAAGCTCCTAGTCACGCACAGGTGGTTGCACAACAGGGCCTCACCGGCGTCAGGGCACTGCCCATTCCTGGGTCATGAAATCAGTTTGGTGGGCTGTCAGTAGCATAAAGAAAAGAAAAGAAAAAAAAGTAATAGAAAATCAAATACAGAGTATATCACAAATAATAAATGTAAGAGTGGGCATCTATCGATCTATATGTAGATATAGATATACCCCCCCGCACATAGTATGTTTTATACAAATTTATATATTATACGTATGTGGGAGATCATAAAAGTATTTTATTATTGGCATCCACCACCTACTAATCAGGATAGACAACTAATCAGGAAGCAACGTTTTCTATATGGGGGAGGGTCTTTAAAAAGTTCGTGGAAAATGTGTATTATGAAAAAACTATGAATGAGTTTCAGGACTTATTTTGTACCAGAATAAACCATACTTTAATTCTGTTTTCCATAAACATTTTTTTGGTGGGGGGGTGGGGTGGGGGAGTTGCTGTCCTGAGCTCTCTCAAGTAGACATCTTTTTCTTTCTCTTTTTAAGAATTATGTAATTTGGGAACCAGCAGATATTGTAATGGTTATGTTGCTGGACTCCCATGTAGTTGACCACAGTTCGAGTCCTGGACTCAGCAGCTTAAAACTCACTCTGGGTGCCTGTGTGTGCATGCCTAAGATCCCATGAGGAGAATGGAAGAGAAGGGATTGCGGCGTGGCCATGCCCCCAGGGGTGATTTCTTGCTTTCTGTCTGTCTGTCTCTCTGGTAAGCACATGTGCCCTATAGCAAAAATCTCTCTCTAAAAACAAACAAACAAACAAAAATTATTTTATTTTATTTATTATTATTTTTAATTTTCTATAGGGCACATGTGCTCACCAGAGAAAGATAGAGAGAGTGATAAAGCAAGCCACCAGGCCCAAGACTCAAACCGAGGTCAGCCATGTAGGAATCTATTACTCCAACCACCATGCCACCTGCTGGCCCCCTTCCACAAACTTTTGAAGTCCCTTGTATATACGTACATATTCATATAATGTATTATATCTATTAAAGGGAATCATTTTAAAAAGTCACTATTTAAATCTTTTTTAGAAGTTTTTGCTATAGGGCGCATGCACTCGCCAGAAAGACAGAGAGAGACAGAGAGACAGAAAGTGAGAAATCACCCCCCAGGAATGGCCATGCCGCAATCCCTTCTCCTCCATTCTCCTCTCAGGCACACGCGCCTGGCGTGAGTTTACGCCACTAGGCCTGGGACTCGAACCGTGGTCAACTACATGGGAGTCCAGCAACATAAGCCATTACACTAACTGCTGGTCTCACTATTTAAATATTTTTCACCCACAAAAATAGCAGTTTCGTATAGCTCAACCTAATTACATAATGGTAATGACATAAAATGAATTTCATACTGTGAATTGCTTTTCTTTCTTCATTTAAAAAAAATTTGCTCTAGGGCACATGCTCTCTGGAGAGAGACAGACAAAGAGGGAAATTAAGAAAGCACCCCCCCCCCCCGCGGGGGAGATGCCATTCCTTCTCTTCCGTTCTCCTTTTGGGATCTTAGACATGTACATGTGCTTTGTGTGTTTTCGAAGCCTCTAGGTCCAGACTTGAGCTGTGCAGTCCACCATGTGGGATCCAGCTGCCTTAACCACCACGCCACCAGCTGGCCCACCGTTTTAAAAAACACTGAAAAGCACTGGAGAGGGGCGTATAGGTTGTGGTAAAGGGACAGAAATACTTCTTCAAATGGGAAATGCTGACAACCATGTCACCCCCCGGCTGAGTAGCCAACACAATGTGATTCTAGGACAGTATTTTCCAAACTTCAGGTATCACATACCCTCTTCCAAATTTTTGCCACTTTTTTTCAACCTACCCTTATTATTATTATTATTATTATTATTTAGTTTCTTTGCCTTATGGTACATGTTCTCACCAAAGAGAGACAGAGAGAACGAAAGTAAGAAATCATTCCCCAGAGGGAATGTCCACATCAGAGTCCCTTTTCCACCCTTCTCCTCTCAAGATTTTGGGCATGCATGCACATGCACCTGGTGCAATTTTCAAGCCACCAGGTTTGGCTCTTGAACTGCAGTCAACAGTGTGGGAGTTCAGCACGTTAACCACCATGCCACCTGCTGGCCCTACTATTATTCACTTAAAAAAAAAAATCAACTCCCTTGTCAGCCCAAATATCCTTGGAAGAGCACCCCCAGGAGAAACAAACTTGACCACTATGCCATCAAGTTCCCCCTGACCACCGAGTCTACCGTGAAGAAAATAGAAGACAACAACACATTTGTGTTCTTTGTGGATGTCAAGGCCAACAAGCACCAGATCACACAGGCTGTGAGGAATCTCTATGATATTGATGTGGCCAAGGTCAACACCCTGATCAGGCCTGACGGAGAGAAGAAGGCATATGTGTGACGGGCTCCTGATTATGATGCTCTGGATGTCGCCAACAAAGCTGGGATCATCTAAACTGAGTCCTGCTGGCTATTTCTAAATACACACTTTTTCACCATAAAAAGAGAGAGAGAGAGATTCAATGTTGATTTACATGCTGATGATGCAATTTAATGTAATTTAATATTGTCTGGGGCCTAAAACCACCTCATGTGCCACCACGTCATCTTGGAACACGAGACAGCCTCCTTGGGCCAGACAGGGCAGTGCTAAGTCACTGGAGGATGATCAGGGCATTGGCATTCAGTGTTCATTCCCCATTCATTCCATCTTCCTATGGGGTAGAGATGAAATACCCAACAGCTTCTGCTATGCTTCCCAGATGCCCCTTGAGATGAGGTGCTGAGTGTGGATTCAGCTCTGTTAATTAGAGGCCCTCATATGCAATTGGAAAGACCAAAAGGGACCCTCTTTCTATTTAACTGGCTGTTTTCTGCAGGCTAATACAATGACTAGTTTTGTGGGCATTTTGAGACAATTATGCAAGGATATCTAAATGACCATAAAAAGACACTCACTACCACTACTCATCAGATAAAGATAGCTAAAAATTACAATGAGTTACCACCACACACCCATTAAAATGGCTAAAATCACAAACTGACAATTGCAAATACTGAATGATATGGAGCAACTGGAATGTTCACAAGATGTTGGCAGGAGTATAAATGGGTACAATTACATTTAAAAAAATTATTTATTTTATTTAATTAATTATTATTATTATTATTATCATTATTTAATTTGACCAGAGAGGGGGTGGAAATAAGATAGCAAGCTGCCAGGTCCAGGACTTGAACTGCGATGGGCCATGTGAAAGTCCAGCACCCCAACCACCACACCACCTGCTGGACTCAATAAAATCACTTTTTTTTTTTTTTTGAGAGGTTTTCGCTATACGGCACGTGTGCTTGCCAGACAGACAGAGAGAGACATAGAGACAGAAAGCGAGAAATCACCCCCCAGGGAGGATGGTCACGCCGCAGTCCCTTCTCCTCCATTCTCCTCTAGGGATCTTGGGCACACACGCACACGTGCCCGGCGTGAGTTCTAAGCCACCGGGTCCAGGACGCGAACAGCGGTCGACTACGTGGGAATCCAGCGACACAGCCATTACGCTAACTGCTGGTTTCCCCAATACAATCACTTTTAAAAACTGGTGGTTTATTAAAAAGATAAATGTGTGTTGTGTTTAACACATGACCCAGCAGTTCAGCTCTTAAGTATTTATCCAAAAGAAATGAAACCACATCCAAATCCACACAAAGTCTTTTTTTCTTTTCTTTTTTTTTTTTTTTTGGAGAGGTTTTTGCTACAGGGTGCGTGTGCTCACCAGACAGACAGAGAGAGACAGAGAGACAGAAAGCGAGAAATCACCCCCCAGGGGGGATGGCCATGCCGCAAACCCTTCTCCATTCTCCTCTCCGGATCCTGGGCACGCATGCACACATGCCCAGCGTGAGTTTCAAGCCACCGGGTCGAGGACACAAATCGCGGTCGACTACATGGGAGTCTAGCGACATAGCCATTACGCTAACTGCTGGTCCTGCCACACAAAGTCTTATATACATATATTCACAGCATTATTTGTAATAGAAAAAAAAAAAAACAAACTGGAAACAGTCCAAAGATTCATCTGCACAAGTGACAGGGAGGAAGAAATACTGATACACACCATCACATGGGTGAACGTCAGAAGCATTTTCCTGAGTGGAAAAAACAAGATACAAAAGAGACTGAATAATTCCATTTACTTGACATTCTGGAACAAGCAGAGCTAATTAATGGTGATAGAAGTCAGGACAGCAGTTGCCTCTACTATGCCATGACTGTGAAGGAGTATAAG